CAGGCTTGTGGAGTAGTATATTTTCTGTGAATCTGATGTATATCTTGGGTTTCACCAACACTTCAGAAGACTTCTGGCACAGATGGACCCGAGACAGAGTAGAGGATATTGGTGAGCTATTTATAAACTTCAACTCTGCTTTTCATTTGTTGTCAAATTGGTACTTACCCCTGCCATATATTTTTAAACACTTTCTGCAGAAAGAACATTTATAACTTGTGGCATGTCTTTGTACCATTGTGCAACACTATTTAGGCTAGTCTAAGAGCATCGTTGGTGGAGATCTCCTTCTGAGATGGGAGCTTCCATGATGTATAGACTTAGAGGGAGAAGGATACAAATTAGGGGAAAATATTACTTCTCTTGTTATAACTATAGACAAAATGAGCTAAGCTTCAGCAGATAGGCTAAAACTGCCATACATCTTGCAGAAAATTATGCTATATTTGCTACTGCATCTTGTAGACTCCTGCACAGAGGCAGAAGATGTAATTGTGGAAATTGACACAGAAAACAATGGTGGATTAGAGTGATGGAAGTATTGTATGCTCTTTGAAAGCTATTTTTTGTTGTTGGTTAAATACATCATCCTAAAATCTGCCCAAGTTGTCACTGAAATACAACAAGAATGACCAGGTGTGGATCCAGAGAGGAGCAAGGAGGTGCAACCACACCCCCTTTGGCTGTGCAGCACATGCACAGTGAGTGCTCTGAGCTCCCAGCTGGCCAACATGGGCTTCTGTCAGGGCTTGGGTATGACCACACCATGGCATTCCCCTCCCCCCAGATCTTCCCCTCAGGATCATAAAGTATGAACACAAATCCATAGGTTTCATCACCTTTTCTCTTTTCTACAGAGGAAGAGCCAATCCTGCCTACAAAACCATATGAGCTGAGGACTCGCATGTTCACACCTGCAGGCTGCCTTTCCAATGCTATTCGAGGTTTCTTAACAGATCGCTTCTCAGTTGCGCAGCATCACAATTTCCTAAAGGGCTTCCATCTGCATAATGACTACTTAATGAATGACAATTTTTGTAGATGGAAAGGTAATATCACTGGTATACTGTTGCTCTATCCTTCCCATGTGATTTGAGGGGTGTGGGGAATTTAATGAGGGGCCGGACTGGGATTAGAAAAGAATAAATGCTACAGATATATCCTGCCACACTGCCAAAAAAAAAAAAAGAAAGAAAAAAGTAATAAAGTTTGCATTTGATTTTGAAGTCAAATATTTGACCAACCACTTGAATTGTACATAGCTGATAATATTTAGTGACATGAGTTTGGTGGGACTCGGCTTGTATCTCCTTGGGTAGCAGTTACCGGGGTGGATCCAAGATTTTGTTAAGGGGAGTGTGGGAGCAGTGACTGATACTGCAGGGATGGCTGCACTGTCGCTCCCAGTCCCGTCCCCTCTGCACCAAGGTGGGCAGAATGTGCTGTGGGAGCAGCAGGCAGGGACTTTAAGTTGCCTAATCACGTTAGAACTTTTCCTCCCCCCTATCATGCTGGGTTGTGGGTGGCCAGGTCTGGGGGTCTCTAGGGGCTGACCAGGGTCAGGAGGAGTGAGCAGAATCTAGGTATCAGGAAGGCAGAAGTCAGAACGTTAGTCCAAGAAGCTGAGTCAGGAAGCCAGAGGGCCAGGCAGAGTGCACAGTCGGAGGCTGAGCCAGGTTGGGTAGCCAAGAGATCAAGCAGAGAGCAGGTAGAGGCACAAGCCAAAAGGACCAGCAAGGCAGTTGGGTTGAGGTTGAGCCCTGTTATCTAGACACTTCCTCTTCTGCATCAGGGGTTTATATGAAAGGGAGTGAAAGGTCAGTTGACCCTGGCTGGCCACTCCAGTGGCAGGGAGTGGGTGGATGGCTAGGCCTGAATGGAGGTTTCTAGTCACTTACATCCCTCCTGAGTGGCCAGGTGGAGAGGTGGCAGACTAGGGTGAATGGCCAATCCTGTCAGGCCTCAGTCCTTCAATACCTCCTCTCTT